GTGCTGAGGTAGTAGCAAAGGCCTGAGCAGACCAGGGGCCATGTTGAGAGGGAAGTCGATCCCACGTGATCAAGATGGAAGCCTCCATGTTGGCGTGTGTGCCAGCTGCCTCAAACATGTCTGGAAACGCGGGAGACCCAGAACAGCAAAGACGATTTTCCAGACACCAGAAAATCAGTGAAGCTGGTGGTGTGGCACCCGTGAGGCACATGGGTTGCCAGGCATGAGGTAGCATGGAGTCTGAATGTGGCCCAGGTGCGTGTTGGCTGGTGGGAGGCCTGGGGAAGGGGTCTGGGGAGGTGGCCTAGCACACCTGTGCAACATTAACATATCCCTTTGGGATTGTAGACATCGTGGGAGAGGCAAGACAAGGACACTGTAAGAGCACAGCTAGCAGTGCCTCCCGTCACCATGGCAGAAAGAGTACTGACCAGAAACGGAAATGACAGCCTTTCTAATGTCAGCGAGAGTGAAAGGCTACCCTTAGCTAGAGGGCTTTCCACAGCGCATGGCTAAAAAGAGCTCTGCCATGCATGTAAAGATCTATCACAAATCAATAAGGAAAAAATGTCCCCATAGAGGATTTCCAAATGGCTAATGAGCAGTGAACATGTACTCAGCCAAATTAGTTATTAAAAGACAGAAAGCTAGCTGGATGTGGCGGCTCATACCTGTAGCCCTAGACAGAGAGCTAGCTGGATGTGGTGGCTCATACCTGTAGCCCTAGACCGAAAGCTAGCTGGATGTGGCGGCTCATACCTGTAGCCCCAGACAGAAAGCTAGCTGGATGTGGCGGCTCATACCTGCAGTCCTAGAACACTGGAGGCAGAGGGAGGAGGATTGCCCTGAGTTCAAGATCAGTGTGGGACGCATAGTGAGTTCTAGACCAGCCTGGGTTGCAGAGTGAGACTTTGTTTTAAGTTAAAATAAAATGGAAAGTAAACTCATGATTAGTCCCTTCATACTATCTCATAATTATAAAGAACTCGAGGGCTGGAGAGATGCTCAGCGGTTGAGAGCACTGGCTGTTCTTGCAGAGGATCCAGGTTCAGTTCCCAGCACCCATATGATGGCTAACAACCATCTATAACTCTAGTTCTAGGGGATCTGACACCCTTTTCTGACTTCTATGGGCATTGCATGACACGGGTGCACTTACATACATGCGGACAATGCACTAGTACACATAAAATAAAAATAATGAAATATTTTTTAAAAAAGAACTCAAAAACATCAAGAAGTGCCTGTGGAAGTGGGGAGGGCCAGTGGGGAGGACCAGTGGGGAGGGCCAGTGGGGGCGGGGATGAGCTTGTGCTTCTGATCTGGACTTCTAGTAGGGTCTGCTGAAGCTTTTCACTGCAGGCCTGCCTAAGGGAAAGCATGGGTGTGTGTACCGGAAGTCACGTGGACGTGCCCTTGGTGATGCTGCATGCAACCGGAGACAGCCTGTAGTGCAGCAGCAAAGTCCTCCAAGCTGAATTTGGGATGTCAGAGGCTGTACAGCACCCACAAGGACGAACCATGGATACCAGGGCCACCAGTGCAGTCAGACAGTGTTTGGTAGTGGTTGGACAGATAGTGGTTGGTCTGGGCACTCGGCCCCAGGCACAGCGTGCTGCTCAGTGTTGGGTCGTATTTTCCAGCTTTGCACCACCATTGGCTGAGTCAGAGCTTTTCTGTGTCTGGATCATGAGAGTTTGACACCCCCATTTCCACAGGCCAGCCAGAAGTCACTTGTCATGCTCCCATGTCTAGGGCCCAGGGCAGACTTGCCCCTTGTCTCTGTCTGTGCCATTTGGAGACGTTAAAGACCAGCTGTGGGGATGCCTTTCCCTAGCAGGGAAGTAAGTGGCATCCTGACCCCTGCTTCTGGCCAGGGCTGGAGCGCGTGAGAAAGAGCCCTGATTCCCAGAGCCCGAGCCCTGGACACAGGCTGGGTCTGAGCCTCCCAGCTCCCTCTCCCTGGGCAGGTCAGCCAGTATCGTCTCCAGAGCACGCCTGTCCCAGCATTGTGTCTTCTCATGGGAAACCAAACCCCTTCTCCAGTGGCCTTGTGGTAGGACGCATTTCTTCCTGGTCTGCATGGGCTTGAGCCCTGGCTAGGAATGAGGAGAAAGCCGCCTTTGTTGGCCCCTCTCGCTGGAAAGCCATCACAGGCTCTGCTCTGCACACCAGCACCTGGCCAGCAAATCCTTAATCCCTGCTTCAGAGCTAAAGACCCAAATTGGGCCTTTGTGGGTAACATGAATGAGGGCTTTGTCTACCTTTCCGAGGGAGGCCGAGGGATCCCTTAAAGCCTTTGTCCAGCCCTGTCCTTTGTCGTGTGTGCAGGGAAGGGGAGAGGAGAGCGGCCTCTGCCTTCTGGCCTGGCGGAACTGAGCTGCCCCTCCTTGCAGACTCAGCCCACATCCCTGCCCTGTGTCCTCAGTGGGGCAGCCAGCCACAGGCTCAGGGCCCTTACAGTTTGCATGGGTAGCCCAGCACCCTCTGTGTTTGGCTTGCAGGAGCTGTCCCCTGGAACTCACCCTCCAGGTGAGGTGGCTCTCTCCTCACTCCCACCCAGGGCTTGAGCCCACGCAGAGAGCCATTCTTCACCAAGCAGGTCTGACTCAGGGCTAACTGGTCTATGACGTCTGGTCATGAGAACGATGAGTTTCTTCTAGCTCTTTCTTGTGTCAGAACAGCAGCTGCAGGTTACGCACAGTCCCTTGTGGCCTATGACAGGCACCTGGGGCACTTCCCACGCCTGGCAGGATGGGAGGCAGCAGAGGCAGGTTTTCAGGGCCTGGTACTCTGACCAGGTCTTTGTGGTGTCCTCTCTCTCCAAATTGGGAGTGATCGCTCTTGTCCATGTGTGCTTGCCGTGCTCTGGCCCTTGCTTATGCATCTTGTTCTCAAGGGGGTGGATAGTGGCATCATGTCACAACAGTGAGAACTCTCACTGACCACACAGTGGGAAGCCTCCCCTTAGATAGGAGGTTCCCTGGTAGGCACGAGATGCATGGTTCCCAGTGCTCTGCCGGTAGGTAGGACGAGATGCCTGCGGAGCTTGGATCATAGTCTGGGGCATCAAGGTACCAGCACCCTTCCCAGTTGACAGATGAGGACGCTGAGGCCCAGAGAATGGAGTGCCACGCCCTGGCTTCACAGCAGGTGCTTTGCTGGGGCAGGGCCCATGCCAAGGTTCCTTCCAAGAGCCTGGAAACTCAGGAGACTGCAGAGTGGGAGGGTGCTGCACAGCACAGCCTGGCACAGGGCTAGCACCTCCCCCACCCTCAGGCCCTGCTCACTTCCTCCCACCCACAGGGAAAGGAGGCGATAATTACTGCCTTGGAAGAGCGCACTTGTCAACAGATTTTTAGATCTTTTATTTTATATTCATCTATCCACATATTTGTTTATTTAAAGGCCTCTGCTGACTTCCTTGTGTTTTGGCAGTGCGTGGGAAGGACTGGATCATCGGGAAGGAGACCTGGGTGAGGGTGGCCTCATGTCCTAAGTGGCACTGGTCATGCTCACTTGTGGGTCCTGAGGAGCAGCACCTGGTCTCTTCCCTCTTGCTCCAAAGGTGCTGCTGCAGCGCCTTCATCACCAGCTCTCTCAGGCAGAGCCTTGGGCCTCTCACACGTGTTGCAGGACATAGGCGCAGGAGCGCACAGCTGCCCAATGGGGTGGATGTGCCCTAAATAAGCTGGGCCCAGCTGGAGTCCAGGAGCACCTGGCTCCCACCTGCCCATACATTCTAGCCCATACCCATTTATTGCTGCACCTCTGTGCCCCAGATTCTGCCCCAGAATGACACAGAAAAAAAGGACCAGCCATCTCTCAAGCTGAGTCCTGGAGGCCAGCCAGGCTCAGGGTCCTCAGAGGTGGGTGGGGCAGATGGTGTTGGAAGGGGAGCTCCATCTTGAGCCTCTTTCCACCCTGACCAGTGCTGGGGAGCCAGATGGTTGCCCAGTGACTCTCTCTCCTGAGCCACTGCCACAGAAGGCCTGGAAATGTGCCCAGATTGTCCAATCAAAGAGCAAATGGGGGTTAATTGGAGAAGTATCTTTTATCATATTAAAACGTTTGGTGTGGGGCTGGAGAGGTGGCTCAGTGGTTAAGAGCACTGACTGCTCCTGCAGAGGACCCGGGTTTGATCCCCAGCACCCACATGGTGGCTACGAACCGTCCTTAACTCCAGTTCCAGGGGAATCGAGAGCCCTCTTCTGACCTCTGTGGCATTGCACGACACAGGTGCACTCACATACATGCAGGCAATACACTCGTACACATAAAATAATAAAATATTTTTTAACCAGTTCCAGGAATCGAGAGCCCTCTTCTGACCTCTGTGGCATTGCACGACACAGGTGCACTCACATACATGCAGGCAATACACTCGTACACATAAAATAATAAAATATTTTTTAAAATTTGGTGAATTAAATCAAGGAAGAATTAAATTTAAGATCCCTGGAAACCCCCTTCCCCAGTCCACTCAGCAGGTGGGTCCCTGGTGGTGGTGTGTTGGCCTTGGCTGTGGTGTCAGGTGTCACCTACTTCTTGCCTGTAGCTGGACCTGTGATGCGTCTGCAGCCCCCAGCGAGAGAATGGACTTTGCCTTCCTATCCATGGGCATGCTCCTTGGCGTCAGGCCTGTGTCCCCTAGGCTTGGCGTGTGGGTCCAGGACATGGCAGCCCTGACTCGGGGTTTGGCCATGAGTAGCCTGCTGAGCTTTTCTTCACTCGGGCCTGGGATGAGGACATGTGGCAGGGCTCTCTCACCCCTACCTGTCTTACACAGCAGCTTCTGGCCTCTTTTCCCAAAAGCATGCACTCCTGGGCAGAGAGCTCAGGACATGTCAGCTCCTGGTCTCGTGAGGCTCCAGGACAAGCTTCCCTGGCCTCTGGAACCTCCCCTGGCCCTGGAGGCAGCCTTGTCCACCCACTCAGGACTCAGGAAAAAGACCTCCAGGGTACAAGGTGAGAGTGGCCTGTGTTTCTCAGCAGGGCCCCCAGACCCCATTTGCAAACCTGGCTGACAAGATCTTTAAGGGAGGTGACAGCATGTGGCAGAAAAGCCAGGACCAGCTGTTGCTTCCCAACATCGGGGAGGAGGACCTGAAGCCATCCAGCTGCCCAGGAAGCTGTCCTACAGATAGAGGTGAGACCCCACACGAAGGTACCCTCAGCTCACCACCATGGGGACTGGGCAGGATTGCAGGCCTCCTCCCTGCCCTGGCAACTGGAGCTGGGCTTTGCAGTGCCAAGGACCCCTCTGTGTGTGGAAGAAAGGTTGGAGTGTCAGGGTCCATCCTGCTCCTTGGTGTTCCTGGTAGGGCAGGGTGTTCTGGTGGCCCTGAGCCGCTGAGGGAGTCATGCCTCAGTATTGAGTTCCATCCCCTCACTGCCTGCATGGTGCATGGCTCAGAGGAGGTGGCTAGCAAACTGCTTAGAGCTGGTCCTGCAATTTGGTGCTGCTGCCAGCAGATGGCAGGTGAGCTGTCTGAGCCAACCAGAGGTCGGCCGGATGCCCCTTGCTCTTGGGTTCTTGAGGCCTGTACCTGCTGGCAGTCTGCCTTAGCAGAGCCCACGGATAATCTTTGTCAGCTGTGAATGTGTGATCTCCTAGGAGGTGCAAAGTGCGAGTGCGAGTGAGCCCCTGCCAGTGGGGCAGTGTATGCAGTACGGGGCAGTGTAGCGGGAGACAGGCTCTGCTGGTCAGAGGACCCGTCTTCCCTCTCTCTCTGGGCCACCTCTGCTGCAGGAAAGCTGGAACCTGCTGCTCTGGAGGACCCAGGGGCTGGGCTTACAGAACAAACGGTTGCCAGGTGCAGATCCTTATTAAAAACAGGAACATGTACATTCGTTTGTAAAGAGCTGGATGTGTCCACTTTCAGGGAGAGCCAGGCTACTGGCCCATCTCTCTCACACCCTTACCTCATGGTCACCCCTACCTTGCCTCTGTTGTGGCCCCCACCTCAGCCTGGCAGAAGAATGCTTATTTCTCAGGACCCCCCTCAGTGCCCTTAACGCCTCTAGGCGATATCCCGCTCCCCAACCTTTCCGGTCTCAAGACGGTTGTGTGGGTCCCAGCCTTGCCCTGTAGGAGGCAGCTGTGGCCCTCAAGCACAGCTGCACAAGTATTGTAGAGACTAGAGCATGCATGGGTCTTTTTGGTCTGTCTGTTGGCACAGCAGAGACCACATTACCAGAGGAGCAAACATGGGTCCAGGATCCAGGAGGCCAAGGAGACCTGCCTGAGGACTCTCAACCCAGGCCTGGGCTTGTCTAAGCTCAGACTTCTGTACTTCTTGTCCTTGGTGGAGCCCTCAGGTGGATTGTAGGTGGCCCCACATTTTCCGCCTCAGCTCTTTCTCTAAGATGACTCTGTAGAAGATACAGGAGCTTGTGTCAGCACCCAGGAGGCACGGGCCAGAAGGGCAACCAGGTGGGGGCAGCTGTGCTCAGTGCACCTGCCACACAACCACCCCCAGTGCCTCACTCACTGCCTCTGGTCTCTGAAGACGAGAAAAGTGAAACACGAACTCACATTAGCCTCACCACCTCCGCCTGCTTTGTAGCCGGTCCTGGGGACATGGCAGCTTCCAGAATCAGCGAGGGAAGAACTAGGGGGACAAGCCTGTGGGTTGGGGGTGAGCCTGCAGGTGCCCAGGCCCTCCAGGACTTGTGTGCTCTCTCTGGAGTCGTCTGTCCAGGGCAGAGAGGATTGACCACTGACTGAATGTCAGACCGGAGGGAGACGGGCCCTGGGAGGGGAGTGAATGTCACAGCAGTCGGTGTGTCTGCTACCTTCCTGCCTGTTTTTCTTGCTCTGAAGCAAGTCAACGGGGCAGACCACAAAGGAGGTCCTGGGCCCTGGTCTTCCTAGGTAACTTCTGAAGGTATAAAATCATGCAGATGCCAACGCATCCAGGGGACATGGGAGGCACTTAGAGTGGGTGGCATAAGTCCCTGATTCCGGCAGTGTTTGTGGACTGAGTGCTCTAAGGGACTGCACAGAGCCGAGTCTGAATTCAAAAGTAATGACTAAATTGTTTCACAGAGGAAGTTTAAGGCAGCATGGCGTCCAGGCTGTGGTGTGGTCACTACTCCTTGAGTTCAGTGAGGTTTAGAGTGTGAATTGTGTGAATTCAAAGCACGAAGTAGACCAGTAAGACGTGGGACATGTGCAGATTGGGAAGGGTAGTGTGATTAAAGTTGCTGATAGGGTGGGGTGGGTGCAGGCAAAGTGGTCATAACTGCTACCCTGAACTCTGCACTGGGATGGCAGGGGATGTGCCTAGAGGGAAAGGACCTGTACATAGCGGGCTCCAAGCTGTGAAAGTTCAAGTTCATTTAAAAAGAGGGTACGCAAAAGAGGAGTCTGAGAGGCTGACTGGAAAAGTGCCCTCCCTCCCTCTGGCTCAGGCATGCAGGTGTGCAGAGGCTGCTTCACCCTTAGTCCAAAGGCCAGACTGCATCTCACAGTGGCAGCAGAATGTGACCGTGCAGTCCACATTGTCCTGGCTTTGCAGAAATGTAAAATGTGAGAGTCACACCAAAGTTCTTGAAAGCCCTGCAACACGCAGAGGGTCAGAGTCCCTGTGTGGAGTTCCTGCATGCAGTGTGTGAGCTGTCAGGCGTCTGTACACACCCCACGATACTGGAGATGACACAAATGTGAGGTGCTCATGGAGCATTGGTGGAGCTGGCTCAAGAGAGTCCGTGTGTGCAGCAGGGCCAGTGAACCCTTCTGGAGCCCAGGTGATACCATCATGAGTCCAGATGCCAGACATGGAGCCGTGGGGTTTGGTATTTGCCCTGGTGGCTTTTGGAGTTGCTTGCTATGATCTATTTCCGCTAGGCTCCTGGTCTTTCCTTTTAGAAGGGAATGTATACTCTGTCTCACTGTATGTTGGAAGCATGAAGCTTGATTTTTAAAAGATTTTATTTATGTGTATGTGTGTAAGTCTGTGTGTATGTGTGTCACATGTGTGTGCAGGTGCTGTGTATGGAGACCAGAAGAGGGTGTTGGACCCCCTGGAGCTGGAGTTACAGATGATTGTAAGCTGCCTGATGTGGGTGGGAATCAATCTCAGGTCCTCTGGAAGAGCAGTAAGTGCTCTTAACTGCCAAGCCATCTCTCTAGCTTCTCTAGACTGGTTTTTAGTTTTTAGGGGTTCACAGTTGGGAGATGGCCTTGAATCTCTGAAGAGACTTTGAACTTTTGAACACTATTAGAATCGTAAGACTATGGGAATTTTGAAGGTGGACTGAATACATTTTGTCTTATGCAATGGCCACATGCCTGTGGGGAGCCAAGGGCAGATGCTATGATTTGGGTGTGAAACGTCCCTCACAGACACATGTGTTTTAATGTTCGGTCTCAACTGGTGACACTGTCTTGGGAGGTCATAGGACCTCCTGAAGTGGAGGTGGATCATGGGGTGGGCTATGAGGTTTATATCCCGGCTCTGCTTCCTCTTCCATCGAGATGGGAGGAAGAGAGGCATCCCTGCCGCACTCTGCAGCCACCATGAACTGTGCCGTGCTCTCCATACCATGATGGATGCACCCTCTCAAATCCAAGCCAAAATAAACCTGTCCTCTCTTAAATTCCTTCATATTGCAGGGGTGAGAAAAGCAAACCAGTATTCGGAAGAGTACAATTCCAAGGGTAGGGGCCAGAACTTTCTCTCATCACAGTGGCCTGTTGCCTATGCACAGTGGCAGTGGCCAATCCCCTGTACCCAATGGCCTGTAACTCTCCCCTGATGGCAGTGGCCAGCTTTCTGCCCTGGTAAGTGCCAGTCCCCTTGTGGTGGTGGCTAACAGGTCTCCCCGATGGCAGCTTGCCCACCCTATGGCAGTGTCGGCCCTGACCCTTAGCTGCTGACTTCCAGGATGGGCACAGGACTCCATGGGCAGCATCTTGTCCTCACGCAGGTTGTCTGAACTCTGCATCTGCCTACTGGGCTCTCTTACAGTCTGGGAAGGCTTGTACCTGCTTGCCTGACCTGGGACTGCAGCTTGCCGAGGACTTTTGGCCTCCCCCTGACTTCCCTGAGCCATGACAGGGAGTGTTCCAGGCCTCTCCCCTCAGGCCTGTGGATGGGACACAGTGTGTGTGGCCTCTGGAAGAGGGGTTCTGCAGAGTCATGCTGCTGCCATACAGTGGAAGTGTGCAGCCCCGTGACACACTTACGTAAGTCGGGACACAAGTGGCCCCGCCATGCCTGCCTGCCTCTCTCCACTAGTTCCCCTGGATTTCCCCCTCTTTATTTCCTGTGTAAGAATGCAGTTGACAGAAACCGCAGGATTGTCCTAACCCTGAGTGACCACCCTGTGCAAATAGAGGTTTAGAAGCAAGCGGTGGACCTCCTGTCCTCCGTATTCCCAGCCCTGCTGGCTGCCTGCTAGTGACTGTGTTTGGCTTGCAGACCAGACTGGGCGTGGGGTTCGGGTTCTGCACAGCCCTTGTCCATCTGCATAAACAGAATTAAGCTAGGAGCAATGTGGCCAATTGAGCAGGAGCCTGTGCTAGCTCAGTACTCAGGCCCCTCAAGGGAAGAGGATGCTGGCCACATTTTCATGAAGGCGGCCGGGAGGCTGGAACCCAGCAGTCTGGCTCCAGGGGGAGTGTTTCTGGAAGACACAGTGCCCAGAAACTGTGGCATTTGAAGCTCTAACCCAGGGCCAGGTACCCTCATCGGACGTCAGATTTGTTCCAGGCACGTGCGGTAGCTGTACCTGCAGTGAACTCCTCAGACCGGAAGTGTTTGGGGGCTCATTCCAACTCTTGCCTCATGCTGGTTCCCTCTCTGGGACTCTTTCCCGTTGCCTCTAGGTGTGAGGCCACCCATTTCTGTCTTCCCAGCCTAAGGTGCCTCCCAGGTGTCGCTTCCAGGCGGGAACTTCAAGTCTCCCAAGACCCTGGTGTCATGTGTCCAGGTGCCACGGAGGCCTCCTGGCTTGTGGTCCTGCCTGGCCTGCGGAGACTAGGAGGCTGTCTGTATTGCTGATAAGAGCATGTACTTTAATTGTGTTTGAGCAGTGTCAGGCCAGAGTGGGTGAGGAGGAAGCACGAGGTGTCTAGGCACCCAATTAGATCATGTCAGGTATCATTGCCTCCTCTGGCAGGCAGCTCTATCCCCAGGGCTG